GGGGGGGTTGGGGGGACTGTTGAAGGGACAAGGGAGGAAGGGAGGGAGAGATTGCTGGGATTGACATGTGAAGCAGGCTTGCTTCTAATTTAAATTAAAAATTATATATAAAATTAGAGTTGTAATCATGCTAGGATCTCACACTCTCTCAGCTGGGATCATGCTGGGATGTCACACACACTATATAATATATATATATGTATATATATATATATACATGCATACATATTCCTAAGAATCAAGTTCCGTTCCCAGCACCCACATCATGTGACTCACAACTGCTCCAGGAGAATAGTGCCTCTGACTTCTGTGAACATCTGCATTCCTGTGAACATGTTCCATACACTCACACACACAGTCACATAACTTAAAATAAGAAAATGAACTCTTTCCACAGGATGTCTCCTACCCAAAATAATTCTTATCATTTGTCAACAGAAATATCGTAATTCTTACTATTAAAAACACCTTTGTCCCGGTGGTGGTGGCACACGCCTTTAATCCTAGCACTCGGGAGGCAGAGGCAGGCGGATCTCTGTGAGTTCGAGGCCAGGCTGGACGACAGCCTCCAAAACAATACAGAGAAACCCGTCTTGAAGAACAAAAACAAAAAATTTCCCAGCTTAATAAAATGGAGGACCAGATGAACTCAACACAGAATTCTACCAGACCTTCAAAGAAGACCTAGCACCAATAGGCTTCAAATTATTTTATTAGCTAGAAAAGAAAAGATCTCTTCCAAATTCTTTTGTGTGAAGCTAGTATTACCCAGATAACATAATAGACAAAAAACAAACAAAGGGATGGGGCAGAATTGAGGAGGTAGGGGCAGAATGAGTGAATTATAGGCTAATTGCCTAGATGAACATGGACACAAAGATTCTTAATACTTATAAGTTTAATTAAGATCACATTAAAAAGACCATTCACCATGACCAAGTTGCTTCAACAAAAAAATGAAGGGATGTTTCACCATTTGTAAGTCAATACATATAATTTGCTACATAAGCAGACTCAAGGATATAAATCACGTGATCATCTCAGTAGCTAAAGAAAAGACCTTTGACAAAATCCAGCGTCCCTTCATAATATAAGTCAGGATATATGTAGGGATCCAGTATACATATCTCAACACAATAAAGGCAATATGGTATAAGACCAGAAGCAACATCATACTAAGTAGAGAAAAACTCAACATATTTTCACAAAAATCAGGAACAAACAAGGATGCCCACTATCTTCATGCCTGTTCAACATAGTGCTCAAAGTCTTAGCTAGAACAATTGGACAAGAGAATGAGATAAAGGGGATACAAACAGGGAACAAAGAAGTCAGTGGGACCTTATGAGTAGATGATACAACTGTATACATAAAAGACTCTGAAGAGTCCACCAGAAATCTTTGACAGCTGACAAACACGTTCAGCAGAGGAGCAGGATATCATAGCAATACACAAAAATCTTAGTAGACTTCTTTATGCTAATGAAACATACGGAAAACAAGAAGGAAAAAAATCCCATTTACAATAGCCTCAGATAAATCTTGGGGTAGATCTGAGAACATGAAAGACTTACCCAATAAAAAATCTAAGACACTGTGTAATGTGTAGTCTTCCCGCCAGTCTTCTAGTCTGGGCCCTACTGAGCTGTCTGAACCCCCAAATAACACACAGGACGCTATATTAATTATGAAGCTGTTGTCCGTTTGCTATGATTTCTTATCAGCTAGCTATGACTTAATTGTTAACCCATGATTGCTAATCTGAATATTTTCATGTGGTCTTCACTTACCAGAGAACAGGGTCCGTAATTCTTACTCCTCTGGCTTCCTACATCATGACTGCCTGTGCCTCTCTTTCCCAGAATCCTTCTCGTCTCCTAGTCCCACCTATCTTGCTTCCCTAATGGCCAATAGTGCTTTAGCCAATAACCAATAAGAGAGACATATTTACAGAATGCCATCTCCCATCAACACTGAAAACAGAAATTGAAAAGATACCGATACCAAAAGTGAGAAAGACCTCTGATACTCATGGACTGGTAAGATTAACTTTGTGAAAATGGTCAACCTACCAAAAACAGTCTACAGACTCAAAGTAATCCCCATCAAAATTCCTACACAGTTTTTCACAGAAATGGAAAATAAAACTATCTCAAAATTCTTATGAGGGCTAGAGATTCTGCTCAGTAGTTAAGAGCACTAACAGCTTCTCCAGAGGACCCCAGTTCAGTTCCCAGCACCCACACACTGACTCATAACCACCTGTAACTCCTGTTCCAGGCCACTCAATGCCTATAATCCTAAACCCCTAATTTTTGACAATGTTGAAGAGATGTACATTGGAGAAAAGACATCATCATCAACAGATGGTGTTGATCAAACTGGATAGCTACATGAAGAAAAATGAAAGTAAATCAATATCACTCACCTTTCATAAAACATAACACCAGACAAATCAAGAACCTTGACATAAGTTCTGGTGCTCTGGACCTGACAGAGCTGGAGATGAGGATTACAATTCAGTTTCTAGGAACAGGATAGGACTTTGTGAACAGGCATAAAGAAAAATAACAAGAGGGGTCTTATGAAACTAAAAAGCAGATCCTGGAGAGATGTCTCAGCAGGTAAGAGCGCTAACTGGATGTTCTTCCCGAAGACTAGGGTTCAATTCCCGGCACCCACATAGTAGCTCACAACTGTCTGTAACTCCAGCTCCAGGGGATCCCATACCCTCAAATAGGCATACATGCAGACAAAACACCAATGGACATAAAATAAAAATAAATTAAATTTTTTAAAAAAAGAAAAACCAGGTGGTCGTGGCGCACGCCTTTAATCGGGAGGCAGATCTCTGTGAGTTCTAGACCAGCCTGGCCTACAAGAGCTAGTTCCAAGACAGGCTCCAAAGCCACAGAGAAACCCTGTCTCAAAAAACCAATAAGTAAGTAAGTAAGTAAGTAAATAAATAAATAAAAAAGAAAGAAAGAAACTTCTGGGCAGTGGTGGCACAATACGTCCCAGCACTCAGTTGGAGGCAGGTGGATCTCTGTGAGTTCAAGCAGCATGGTCTACAAAGTGAGTTCCAGGACAGCCAGAGCTACACAGAGAAACCCTGTCTTGAAAAATAAAAAATAAAAATAAACAATTCACAAATGTCAGTGACTTAAACTAGATGTTTGTTGTTCCTACTTAGAAAATACCAGCCCCACCCCCCACCTCCCACTCCCCACCCCCATCCTTTATCTGACATGTGGTGGTGAGGGCAAGGGAAAGATACCCTTCCTCCACCTTGCTTCATGGTGGATGAGGGAGCAGACCCTCCCCCCTTACCAAATGTAGCACTCTGGACAGTGGTCCCTGAACTTTGCCTTGGCAATACAGTAGAACTGGCCCTGATGGTGGAGATGTGGGAGAGCCAACTCTGAGAATGTGAAGGCAGGAGAACTGGCCCCGCCCCTTGCTAGTTGTTGGAAGGAGTGAACTATCCAGGACAATGCTGCAGAGCTCACCCTGGTGGTGAGGACAAGGGAGAACTGGCAGGCTGACCAACTCTGCAGCTACCCAGGCCCAGATCCAGGGTTATGAATTGGCCCGCCCCAACATCCACCCATCTATGATCTGCTTGAGTGCATGAAGGGACCCATCCTGCAGACCCAAAGCTACAGGATCTCTACAATACAAGGCAACGGGATATCCAAGAGGGTCCAGCATCTATAGTATAGCAGAAACCAGAGGCCTTGAACCAGACCAATGACTTTTGCAATGAACACTTGCAAGTAAAGATAAATAGATCTAAAAGAAAAGACAAAACCAAGACTGGTGTGGCCATGCATGCTTTTAATCCCACACTTGGGAAGCAGAAGCAGGCAGATCTCCATAAAAAGAAAAATTTTAATGTGTATCGATGTTTTACCAGCATGTATGTCTGTGTGAGGATGTCAGATTCCCAGGAAATGGACTTATAGACTATTGTAAGCTACCATGTGGGTGCTGGGAATTGAACCCCGGTCCTCTGGAAGAATAGCCAGTGCTCTCAACCACTGAGCCATTTCTCTAGCCCTAGATCTCTGTAAATTTGAGGGCAACCTGGTCTACAAAGTAAATTCCAGGACAACCAAGGCTGTTATACAGAGAAACCTTGTCTTGAAAAACTGAAAAGAAGGGCCTGGAGAGATGGCTCAGAGGTTAAGAGCACTGGCTGCCATTCTTCTAGAGGTCCTGAGTTCAATTCCCAGCAACCACATGGTGGCTCACAACCATCTATAGTGAGATCTGGTACCTTCTTCTGGTCTGTATGCAGAGCACCATTTATAGGATAAATATAAATAAATAGTCAGTGTCCTCTTAAAGAAAGAAAAGAAAAACTGAAAAGAAAATATTAGACCAATTGGCATATGACCGAGCTTTGCTGTTCTCAGCTGACTATAGCCTGTAAGAAGGGTTAGAGTCTGATACACATGTCTATTCTAGGACTTAGGCTGAAGGTAGCTACCCCAGGGATGATATCATGGGTTTATACAAAGCCCAGAAAGGCAAACCAATCATGTTAACACATTTTGAGCTTTTGCTCACATTCTTTCCACTGGTCAAAGGAAGTCTCACAGACAAAGCCCTAAATCAAGAGGTGGGACATACAGTGTGTCCTCCACCTTCAATCCCAGTGTTCAGCAGGTATGTGTGTGTGAGGGGAAAGACAGATCTCTATCTGTTCTTTCAAGGCCAGCCTGGTCTATAGATAGAGTTGGTTTCACAACTATATAATAAGACCCTGTCTCAAAAAGGGTGAGGGGGAAGTATAGTTAATAATGTTCTTTGAAATAATCGTGTTAAGTGAAAGAAGTATTCTCTATAACATATGAACTTCATGTAAACTTATCTCTCATTTAAAAGAAACAGTATAAAAAGGAATTAGCCCATTAATTATTTAAAATATCTGGTGCAGCTATTCCTATTAATTAATCCAAGGTATTTGAAAGACAATTACACTCTGTGTTAATTGCCAGGCTTGGGCAGCTCGCCAGGACAGCGAGGGAAGAGGGTGCGGCCACGGCGGTGTTGGGGACCAAGGCACAGGAGGACCCCGCGTGGACCATGGAGATGCTGGGCTTGGCGGCAGGAATAACCAACAGCAGTATGGCCAATGCCTTGGCCAGCGCTACGAGTGAGCCCTGCAATGGGGGCTGCGCACCTGCCGAGAAGATTGTGAACAGTAATGGCGAGCTGTACCATGAACAGTGCTTCGTGTGTGCCCAGTGCTTCCAGCAGTTCCCAGAAGGACTCTTCTATGAGTTTGAGGGAAGGAAGTACTGTGAGCACTATTTCCAGAAGCTCCTTGCTCCCTGCTGCCACCAGTGTGGTGAATTCATCATTGGTCAGGTTATTAAAGCCATGGACAACAGCTGGCATCCTGATGGAAGCAGAGGCAGACTGCTTACATTTTCAGCAGAAAAAAACAATGGAATCCTGCAATTTGCAGCCAAATGGATGGCATTAGAAGAAATCATCCTGAGCCAGGTAACCCAGTCACAAAAAGAGAAACATGGCATGTACTCTATCATATATGGATTTTAGACATAGATCTGGGGAGTGCCAGCCTACAATCCCATGGCCAGAGATTCTGGGAAACAGAACCTTCATTCAGTGGCTGATGGAAGAAGAGGCAGACTCCCACGGCCAAGTACTGAGCTGAACTCAAGAAAGCTAGTAAAAGAGAGGGAGGACTGATGACCAAAGGGATTAAGACTGGGCTGGTTTAACCCCCAGAAACAGCTGACCTGAAAAGGGTTACCTCTTGAATCCAAGGCTGATGCCTGGGAATCCAGCATGGGTCTGATCAAGACCCCCTGAATGTGGGTGTCAGTGAGGAGGCCTAGGCAATCTATTGAGCCTTGGGTAGTAGATCAGTACTTATCAATGGCATACAAATGGACTTTGGACGCCCGTCCAACAGTGAGAGAAGCACTTTCATCCTGGACTCTTGGGGGAGTGTCTAGGTCCTGCCCTGGATGAAATGACAGACTATGGCCTCACCCTTCCTGGGGATATAAGGGGATATTTGGGGGGGGTTGGTGGGAGGGCGCGGGAGGAGGGGAGGGAAACGGAGAGGGACCTGAAATTGACATGTGAAGCAACCTTGTTTCTAATTTAAATTTAAAAATAAAATTTTAAAAAAACAAACAAAAAAAGATGAACAAAAGCAAGGTACCAGATTTCTTTCTTGTTATGCTACTGTTCATAGTCTTAACATTAATCAATAAAGTTCTGATAAGTTATTTTAAAAAAAGATCCCTCAAGTGAGGAGACTGAAACTTGCTGAAGCCTGAGTCTCAGAGGCTGCAGAACCTCGGCCAAGACAGAAGGGGCGGGTTAAAGGGGCAGGACCAAGTCGCAGAACTGAGATTGAGGGCGGGACCTTGGGGAGAGAGGCGGGGCTAAACTCGGCTGCGCACGCTCGGTGTGGACCGTTCTCCGCTGCTGTGGCTGCCTCTGCCCACTCTGGAGTAGGAGTGAGGTGCAGGCGACCTGGTAGCAGAAGGGCCCCGTAGGCGAGCCACCATGGCCCGGTGGCTGCAGCTCTGTTCCTTCTTCTTCACTGTCAACGCCGGCCTCAGTGGCTCACAGCTGGCAGTGGTTGTGGGCGGCTCAGGCCGCCCGAGGGGCCTCCTGCCGACACCTGTGGCAGGAGTGTAAGGCCAGGGCTTGTTCGCGCTCCAGGTTATCTGAGGGCTAGCGCCACGCACAGGTGCTGGCAGACAGGGGAGTCGGGTTCCTCTGATCTGTAGATGCTGGATCTGCTGTCAGTGGTGTCCCTGGCTCCTCCAGCCCATTCCGCCTCAAGGTCCCCAAGCGAGCATCCGCTGGTCCCCCTCTGGATGAAAGGTGACTCCGGACCCTGGCTTTGTGTTGCTAATGGGGCGCGTCTGCTGCACGGGGTCCGACTCCCGAGGGCGGGTGGCATGGCGGCGGGGCGGGGGCTGTGCGCCCCACCCTTTTGTTCTCGGCTCTCTGCCCCTGGGCTTCGCTTCCTGGACTGGGATCTTCCAGGCTGTCCCGGTACGCATGAACTTCGGAGCCCATGGATCGTGCCCTGGACCTCCAGTCCACAGCTCTGCAAGGGCTTAAGGGCATCCGGGGAAGAGACCCTGGAGCGCTAGGGAAGGATGCATTCACTTTCTCTCTGTCGCTCTGTTCCTTCTAAGCAGCTCTGTCACCCTACTCCTTCCTACGCCACTGGAGATTCTTAACTTTCTAAGAGACTCTGCCTGCAGGTCTCATGATGCCACCACTAGCCGCCAACGCGCCTCAGCTTGAGTTGAGGGTGTTTTCATGGCCAAAGGGCAGCGAAAGTTTGTCTGCTCCGCCAGGTGCCCCAGACCTGAAACTGGTGGAGCCCACACTTTCCCTGTGTACTTGAAAGCCCTCTCCCCAAAGCAGGAATTCCTTTCCTGTTGTCTGGGTAGTGCGGCCCCCTGGTCTGCAGACCTTGAGCCTTCCACAGAGACAAGGGCACTGAAAGTCAAGCCACTCACACCTTCAACCCTATTGTAAGAACACAGTTTGCCATCCGGGCAGCCCAGTCTGGAGTGCCCAGTCTCAGTTTCCTTACCTAGAAAACTGGAAGGGGGTGGGGGAGTGGGAGGGTTGCTTATTCCGCAGGGCTCAGGGATATGTTGAGGGCAGCTTGCTTAGACCAAGGTTGTCTTCCCTTTTGCCATGGACTCTACTAAACAGCTCAGTACAGACAAGACCCAGAATAGGACACCTCTTAGGGACACTTGGCTCACTTCTCAGTTAGAGAGAAACACAGTTCAGAAAACGAGGTAAGAGCGGGCAGCTGCAGGTCAACCATTCCCACTCCTCTTAGTGGACTCTGCTCATCTTCCCCTTTTGGGTAAAGCCTCACGGTTTCTTGCTGTGTTCCACTGCAGTAAAACCTCACTGTTAGTTTTAACAGATTGCAAATTTTCTTGAGGCTATCACATGTTGACTTACTAATTCTCTTGTAAGATTTTTGATCTAGACTGGCAGTTGCTGCTTTTCTAGAGTAGCCTAGAATGCATGAAGCGTGTGTAAAGTTTTAACATTGGGTGTATTAGTTGTCTCTGAAGAAGCCAAAGCAATGTTTTTGCTCTTCAGGAATGCATCGCTCAATAACTGCCCCCCACCCCGTTGATGTGGTCCCATCACTAGTACCCACATTCCTGGCCTCCTGGGAGTGATCTCAACAGCTCCTGCCTTGGTGACTACTACAGCCCTTTCCGTGGGTCACCAGCTCCTTCCTGGATGAGCATGGAAGCTTCTGGGCCGTATCCCAGATTCCAGGCTCTGAACCACAGCTCCTTCCTGCTGAAATTGCCTGCTTGGTACACGTGAAAGTAGGCCCAGCTTACCCAGCCTTCTTCTAGCACAGCCATGGGTTCTGCCCCCTCCTTCCCTGTTGCTTGCCTTCTAAGTCCTTTCCCACAGCCAGCATGTGCTTCCCATCTTGACTCTGTTCTGGCCCGAGAGCGCCCTGCTAGGTTTAAGGGTCTGCTCATGTGCCGCCTCTTCCAGGAAGCCCTCCCAGGACGCTATGCCCTGTGCTTTACTTTCTCATCCAGGTCCCTTAGTCTTTGGTGCTCACCAGCTTTGTGTGTTTAGTTTCCATGGTGGGGTCGAAGCTTGGAGCCCTATAATCTTGGCTGAGGCCATGTAGACCATGGCATCTTTCTGCAAAATCCTTTAGTGCATGGTTTGAAGAGTCGGAAGAGCTGAGCCTAGTGCTGTAATCCCAGCTACTCGGGTGACTGAGGCAGCAGGATCAAAAGTTTTGTGCCTGCCTAGGCTTCAGAATGAGTTTCAGGGCTAGCCTAGGCAACTTAGAGAGACCCTGTCTGGAAGGAAGGGAGGAAGGAAGGGAGGGAGGGTGGGAGGGAAGGAGGGAGGGAGGGAGGGAGGAAGGAGAAAGAAGGAGGGAGAGAGACAGAGACAGAGAGTCAGAGACAGTGCTGGAGGTGATACAACTCAGCAGCAGAACACCTGTGTGACAGCCTGAGGTCTGCGTTCATCTCCAGAGGGAGGCAGGCAAGGAGGTCTCAACGCCAGGCTTCAGTCTATCATGTTCTGTGTGCAGTAGGACTTCGCACAGCATTCCTGGCTGCAGCCACCTTCAAAACTTGGGGAAAATATCACCCTTTTGCTTCTTACCTTTTTAGTGACTTCTCTGAACTCTGTCATGGCTTCTTGCAGGAAACCCTCCCTATCCCCACCTTACTAATTAAGATGTCACAGATGTTACGTTGTCTTCTCTGAACTCTGTCATGGCTTCTTGCAGGAAACCCTCCCTATCCTCACCTTACTAATTAAGATGTCACAGAGGTTGCCTTGTCATGGGGTTCTAGTAGGCACCAATGTTCAGAATCTTGGGATTTTTGAGTCACACCTGCTTCGTACAGGTCTCCTACTCATCCTGTGCATGTTGGCCCCAACTCTGAGGTCATTTATGGTCTAGTTGGGTCTGTATAAATAAAATATATAGGAGTCAAAGGCCGAGGCAGGAAGATGGCTGTGTCGTGGTCAATCCCCCCACCCACACTACAGAAAGAAAGCAAAGACAAGGCTGGGAGGGTGTTTGGGAACTGTAGCTCATTTGCCGAGTGCTTGCTGGCATCCCCAGGGTCAGGGGAAGGATAAGGAATAAACATAGGTGTAGTGGTGCTACCAAGCCTTTAGCACCCAGAAGGTAGGCAGATCTCTGTGAGTTCAGCACCAGCTTGGCCTACATACCGAGCTCTAAGCCAGCCAAGGATACATAATGGGACCCTACCTCAAACAAACAAAAATAAGGAGCAAGGGTAAATAATTTGTGATTCCAACAGAAGTGGGTATCTGGGGTCTGAGTTTCACTTAGAACCTTGAGCCTTGGAGCCTGAAGGTGGGGCAGGGTCTGGACACTGGAGAACAAATGACTGAATGCCCTGCTTAATAATCTCCATAGGGCATTTGGGCCAGAAACCCAGGCAGCTGTAGGACTGGGTATTTCCCCAGGATTTACAGGGTTTGCAGCTAGGGGAGCTTCTCTCAAGGGCCATGGGCTGGCCTGGTTTAAGTGGTCAGGTTTCACAACCTCCCTATTACTTGGGTAATTAAAGGACTGATTCCATCTCAAACACAGCTCAGTCTTTAGAAATGAGTTGTGGGCACATTTCTTAACTATTTGAAGAAAAACCCCTCCTAGTCTTTGCTGAGTAAAGTTGTGCTGTGAATAATAAATACTGCTTTTTTCCGAAGAGTAACATTTCGTGATGCTTTCAGGCTGCAGGCTCCTACCTCGACACCAGCTTGAAACACTACTACTTAGGTTGCTTTTTCTTTCTTTCTTTTATTCGTTTTTTTTTCTGATTTTTGAGACAGTGTTTCTCTGTATT